AGCCACTCCTCGGAAGGAAGGTTGGGCAATCCTACTTCCGTAGTGATACTGCCTCGGAAACCCAAGGAGGGGTCACTATGAGTAGGGGTCGACTCAACGGCAAACAACAACAACAACTGGTTATAAGGCTGGGCAATCTACTTCCGTAGTGATACTGCCTCAGGAACCCAAGGAAGCGTCGCTTTGAGTCGGGTCTGACTCCACGGCAAATAACAACAACAAATATTCCAGAAAATACAAGGCTATCAATGTGATATGTACAATCAAAAAGAAGGAGGAAAATGCACAATCTCTTAATTTACTAAAATGTCTTAAGCACACACAGCAGTTCACTACAGATTTTAAAAAGTTAAATTAGAAAGTAAGCAACAGCTATTCAAAATAACAAATCAGTCTAAATGAAAATTCAATGATAATTGTGATCCACACATTTGGGGAACAGTTGTGCGTAAGAGAGGAAATAATTCTAACAGCTCCTGAACTCATAATGGCATTCTCTGGAATGATGTTTTATCAATCACCCTTATAGCATACTTACATAAAAACTCTAACTTAGCTAGTTAGTAATAAGTTTCCATAGCCTCTTAAATCTTCATTTCTCTAAGGAGACTTCAAGTAATAAATCATCTAATTTAGTCCTTCTTGGTGATATAACAACTCCAAAACAAAATGAAAAGCAATATATAAAATGCAACAAGATGTTGGTGAGTAGCAACTGGGATCTTAAAAGCTTGCAAGCAGCCATCTAGATGCAATGATGGGTCGCTCCTTGTCCAGAGCAAAGAAGAATGAAGAAAACTAAAGATTCATGGAAACAATGAGTCCTAGCGACTGATACACCATGCGATCTGCAGCCTATACGACTATGAGACCAGAAGAACTAGATGGTGCCTGGCTACTGTCAACCACTTGGAGGGGGGATCTATGTAGGAGATCCTAAATAGAGAGGGAAAACAATGTGGAACAAAACTCAAAATCATTTGAAACAAAAAAAAAGGGGACGGGGTTTGCTGGTCTGATACAGCCTAGTGGAACCACTGAGACTATGGCCCCTTGCTGCCCTTCAGGTCTGGAATTGAACCCATACCTGTGGCTTCCAGCCAAACAAAAGACAGACATATGAGTTGAACATTTACCTGAGGTAGGTACAGTCTTTGGAGAGAACAATCATGGGAGAAAGAAGGGCTGCTTATGCACAGGGAGACAGCTCAGGGGGCAGGAGTGCATAGCGGGATGGACACAGGGAAGAGGTAACTATTGGGAGGAAGTGGGAGGGGAGTTGTTGCACTGTGGTAAATTGTAGTCAATTGTCATGAGAAAAAGTGTATGTGAACTACTGTATGGAAAGTGAATTTGCTCTGTAAATTTTCACTCAAATCACAATTAAAAAAAAAAAAAAAAAAAAAAAGGCAACAAGATGTTACAAAGTATTTCTAGGCAAAGAATTATGCAGAGACCAGGCATGGGACCTCAGAACACTGAGACAAATCAATCTATATGCCAAACAAGAGCTCTCAACATTTTTGGCCTTAAACCAACTGTGGAAAAAATATAATCATTTCATCAGTAGTGGCTCAGAGGGTAGGCAAGAAATAGGAAGACTCTTAACAAGATGGATTGACACAGTGGCTGTAACAAAAGACTCAAACATAGCAATGATTGTGAGGATAGCACAGAACCAGCAGTATTTTGTTCTGTTCGTTCACTATGAGTCATAATCAATTCGATGGCACCTAACAACAGTGGTTCATTGGCAATTTGAGGAGATGGGAAGGGGGCCACTCATGTGGTGTACTGATGTGTAGGAGTGTATAAAATTCCAGGAGCTGGGTAGAGTACAGTTGCGAATCCCTGATCACTCTCCAGGAACATTCTAAGTCTTACACTTTCCTCAAACATATGTCCCACACATTTACCCAATTAGGAATATCCAAGCTAGTACCAGGAAGTTGAAATTTAGTTTTAAGTTTCAAGAGAACCACATAAATTCATCATTTCTAATAAGAATTAAAAATTCTACCATATTCCTGATGTTAGTAAACTTGCTTGTTTTTCAGTTGTTGAGAAGGAAGAAAAAAAAAGACTAACACTCAGAAAGCCTTACAGAGGCATGTTTTACTTATGCAAAGAAAAGAGGAAATTTAGTAGAATTTACATCCATTTACTTGCTGGATAAACATTAAACTCCTTCCATAGCAATTAAAGAAAATTTGACTAATTTGGTTACCTTTCTTTCAACACCATTTCTCAAACTCAAGTACTGCTTCAAGTACTTTTAACATCAGACACTGTCCTGTACTTTTTTATACCTGATGTACTGCATTCTGGAACGTCAATTGCCCACTTCATGAAATTTTATCATTCAGGAATAAGGTCAAATGTTACCTGCAATGCAAAGCCTTACTCCCACAGGCAGTTAGTTAATGGCTGGCAACTCTGAGCTCCTCTAAAACATTCACCTCCTCCATTTCTTGTGGGCCAGCCTCTGCTTTATTTACTGAAGACTCTAGGAACCAGCCACTTAGCAGACTCAGTAACGTCAGAATAAATTAATCCTGTTTCATTTACCAGAAGGCTACATGAGGTAGAGTTTGACCATACAACCTCCCCCCCAGGAGCCACAAACACAAACCCTCTTAGAAGCCACTTCACACCTGATAAGGCCTTTCATGTCCTTTCTAGCAAGTGATTTTCACAAGGACTTGGTACTTTGGCGGGGCCAGGGATAATCACTTCCACTTGTGCCAATGAGAACCTGGAGGCTCAGAGAGGGAGAGCATCTTGCCCAGGGTCACACAGCCCACAGGGAGCAGAGCTGAGGCTAGAGCTCCAGTCTTCTAGTTCCGGGCTCCTGCTCTCTCTCCCTGCTGCTGGCACCCTCCCTGTGATTACGTAACAGCTTCAGGCTTGTCATTGAAGCATGGTATGAGAGTAGGGGTAGAAATAGACCAGTAAGTCACTCTCCATCAGACAAAGACAGGAAAATGTGAACCAGCCTGGGTTCATATTTTTTACATTAGTCTACTTTATGTAACAGCAAGAGCTGATGGGTTCCTAGACTCAGAATTGTCTTCCATTTCACATCAATGCCATTTGATGGGTTGCCTCTCCCTGCTTGCTGCATGGTACTGATGGATTAGGATTACTGTAATGTAGTCATTCTGGCTTTAGTAACACTTAAAGCTTCAAAGCAGCCCACTTTACCGAATGGAAAACTTACCTTGACTATTCTCCCATGAAATGATTTCCAGTAATTTAAATAATGAGCTCTTTCAACATCACATATTCTGCCAAAGGATTCACAAAGGTAAAATAAACCTAACAGCATAACAGTTTAAATACACTACCTGAAAGAGTAACGATTCCCCTGGGTTGCGGCTGAAACCGCAAATATTTGTTACAAAAGTCAGGAGATTCAAGGGCCAAAAACAAAACATTGCCCAAAAAGTAGCCAGCTGTCTGGCCCACCGAATTGCAAGTAGAAGCATAACCCACATTTTCCCGGGATAACATCGTTAACGCCCAGCCATCCACAGCGATGTCCTGAGTCGCGGCCAGGAATTCAAACAAAAAGAACGTCACAGTGAGAGCAACCACATCAGGGGTTCTGCCATCAACATTCCCGAGCAAACGGTCCACCTGCGTGGATAAATATATCATGAAGAGTCCCAGTGTGTACTGTGTAGGGACAAGCCAAGATTTGCGACGACCGAAGTTCCTGAAGTAGACCGCATCAACCAACGGGGCCCAGAGCAATTTGAGACTGAAAGGCCAAAAGACAAAACTGAAGAAAGCTTGGTCTGTATAGCTAACATTTTTGCTTTGCAGAATGAGTGGGATGCTTCCCGCTAGGCCCAGTGGAATGCCCTGAAGCACGTAAAGAAAGAGTAGAAGCAGAATGCTGCTTAGTTCGGCCCTGCAACTTTGTGGGACTTTTGAGACTTCACCAGTCGCATCCCGCAGAAGAGCTTCTCTGTCCCCTTCCGCTCCTACCGAGTCCGGATGATTGCCATCCCAGGCGCCCGGTGGCAGAGGCCCACTCTTCATATCCAAAGAATGGTTGAAAGTCCCTGGTCGCCGTTGCCGACTACTGTCCTTGTGGGAGACGGTGGGTGACATATCAGAGACGATGCAGAGCCCAGTCTGTGGGGGGCCGGGGCTGAGCGTTTTGGATACGTTTAGGTAGTTCCACGTCCAAGGCTGCTGCTCTGGACCAGGGCCTCGGTGGTTCAGGGAGGAGGGCAGGACGAGGGGCTACAAGAATACTTCTTACTGCAGCCTGGGGTGCTGAAGCGGGGAGCCAGTCCCTCCGCTGGAGTCCCAGGCGATGCCCGGGTAAGTGCCCCTTAGAGCACCGAAAAGAAACCTGAAGTAGTATCCCGGGAAATAGCACCGGGCTCGGGGGTGGAGGAGGGGGCTGTGGTGCCGCGATGGAAAAACACCCCTAGATGCGGCGGGACCAGGTCTCTCGTCCCCTCGAACCACCTCCAGTTGTAGCCGCCACTAATGCGGCAAAAAGCACTTTCTCCACAGGGCTCCAGAGGTACTAGGTAACTTCCTGCCTCGTGCTTCAGGAAGAGGTTCAGGTCTCAAATGGGTCCCAGCCTCCAAAGCAAGCCAATCAGGACACGCTCCCTTGGCCGAGTTTGGAAGCAACGCTTCCTCGGAACCAGCACCCTCCAAGGCCCGGGCTTCCGGGGATGATTACAGACAGCGCACTGACAGGTGGGGCGTGGCTCGGGGCGAACTCTGTCTCTGTGAGCGCATGCGGCCGTTTTGAAAGCGTGGGTCTCGGTCATTGGGTGCGCGCGGGCACGTGACCGCTGGTGGAGCAAGGCTGGCGGGGGCGGTTAGATGTAGGTGAAGAGCGCCGTATTGTGTGATGTTGCGTAGTTTACGGGCTAGATAGAAACGAGAAGGATTGGAATAAGAATTTCCACGTGAGGAGGCAAGACATTTTCTGCTCTCCTAAAGCAAGAATACCCCGGGTTAAGTGGAGAACCTCATGTCTTAAAAACAAAACAAAACAAAACTCACTGCGGTGGAGTGGATTCCACTCATAGTGACCCCTCCTTGGGTTTCCCAGGACGTATCTCTACGGATGTAAATTGCCCAACCTTCCTTCTGAGGAGTGGTTGGTGGGTTTACAACCACCAGCATTCTGGTTAGCAGTCCAATGCCTTAGGCACTACCCCATCTAAAACTCACTGCCCTGTAGTCGATCTGACTCATAGTGACCCCTCCTTGGGTTTCCAAGATGGTATCATTCCAGAAGTATATTGCCCCATCTTCCCAGGAGTGGCTGGTGGGTTTGAACCTTCAGCCTTCTGGTTAGCAGTCAAATGCCTTAAGCCACCAGAGCTCAACAGAAAATGGTAAAGAAATGAAAAGTGGCTTTGTAATAGTTTGTGAAAGAGAACAGCTCACTGGAAAAGCACTCATTTAAGTCAGACCAATCAAAGTTAGGGAGCTCTGGTAGCATAGTGGCTAAGACACTTGCCTGCTAACCAGAGGGCTGGCGGTTCAAACCCACCAGCCACTCCTCGGAAGGAAGGTTGGGCAATCCTACTTCCGTAGTGATACTGCCTCGGAAACCCAAGGAGGGGTCGCTATGAGTCGGGGCCGACTCGACGGCACATAACAACAACAACAACAACAACAATCAAAGTTAAAACAGCACGCCACTGAGTGGACTTTAGATTGTCCTGGATTAGTCCTACAGGGATGTTACCCCAAACTTAAAGTAGTGAAAAAGATTTTTATTGGACATACGCAGGAAAGGAAAAAGTTAGAAAATGGACAGACATGCCATCAGTACAATGTCTACCAAGTCTAAGGAATATTACAAAATCAGTATACATGAAAATTACAAATTAATGAAAATTTCATCTGACCATGTTGTTGTTATGTGCTGTGGAGTACTCATAGCGACCCCTCCTTGGGTTTCCAAGGCAGTATCACTATGGGAAGTAGATTGCCCAACCTTCCTTCTGAGGAGTGGCTGGTGGGTTTAAACCAGCCTTCTGATTAGCAGTCAAGTGCCTTAGGCACTGCGCTAGCAGAGCTGCTAATTATAGATAGGCAAAAATTATTGCATCACTGTGATTGTTTCAATCAGTGGTGCAAGTTTTTGGTAACAATAGTGGGCAGGGTGTCCATTGGTCCAATAACTGTCCAGAATAAGATAAGGGTGGTAACTGTCTTATCAAAATGTCCTCTTTGTTCTAAAAAGAGATACCTAGGCAAGTTCCCTAGTTTTTTGTGTAAGCCCCTTTTCTGTATAGTATTTAATTTTCCTGTGATCAACCTGCCCCTCCCTGGGTGATCCCCAAATTATCATGGTTATTGCTCTGGTGGCATAGTGCCTAAGGTATCTGACTGCTAACCAGGAGGTTGGTGATTCAAACCACCAGCCACTCCATGGAAGACTAGGCAATCTACTTCTGTAAAGATTTACCTCCTCAGAAACCCAAAGGGGGTTGCTATGTGTTGGAAACCCAAAGTGGGTCGCTATGTGTCAGAAACCCAAAAGGGGTCACTTATGAGTAGCAGTGAAATGCTCTCTGATATATTACTGGAACATTTTATGAATAGCTCTGAAACATTGTCTGATATAGTGCTGGGAGATGAGCCCCTTAGGTTGGAAGGCTGGGAAAAAGTTGCCTACTCAGAGTAGCGCCGACCTTAATGATGTGGATGGAGTAAGCTTTCGGGACTTCCATTTGCTGATGTGGCATGACTCAAAATGAGAAGAAACGGCCGCAAACATTCATTAATAATTGGAACATGGAATGTACAAAGTATGAATCTAGGAAAATTGGAAGTTGTCAAAAATGAAATGGAATGAGTAAAGATCAATATCCTAGGCATTATAAAACCAAACTCGCTGCTGTTGAGTTGGATCCAACTCATAGCAACCCCTCCTTGAATTTCTTAGGTGGTATCACTACAGAAGTAGATTGCCCGACCTTCCTTTTGAGAAGTGGCTGGTGGGTTTGAACCTCCAGCCATCTAGTTAGCAGTCAAATGCGCTAGGCACAATGGCAATCCTAGGCATTAGTGAGCTGAAATGGACTAGTCTGGGCCATTTTGAATCAGACCACCATATGATCTACTATGCCAGGAATGACAGATTGAAGAGGAATGGCATGGTACTTATCACAGAGAATGTTTCAAGATCTATCCTGAAGTCAGTGATAGTATGATATCCATAAGCCTTCAAGGAAGACCACTTTATACTACTGCTATTCAAATATACACACCAGACACCAATGCCAAAGCCAAAAAAATTGAAGAGTTTTACCAACTTCTACAGTCTAAATTGACCGAATGTGCAATCAAGATGTGTTGATTACCACAGGTGATTGGAATACAAAAGTTAGAAACAAAGAAGAATCACCAGTAGTTGGAAAATATGGCCTTGGTGACAGAAATAACACTGGAGATCGCATGATAGAATTTTGCAAGACCAATGACTTATTCCTTGCAAATACCTTTTTTCAACAACACAAACAGTGGCTATACACATGGACTTCACCAGATGGAGTATACAGGAACCAGATTGACTGCATCTGTGGCAAGAGGTGATGGAGAAGCTCAATATCTTCAGCTAATATAAGGCCAGGAGCTGACTGGAACAGACCATCAACTGCTCATATGCACGTTCAAGTTGAAGTTGAAGACAGTTAAAATTAGTCCACAAGAGCCAAAATAAGATCTTGATCATATCCCTCCTGAATTTAGAGACCATCTAAAGAATAGATTTGATGTATTGAACACCAGTGACTGAAAACCAGAGGAATTGTAGGATGACATCAAGAACATCATCAATGATGAAAGCAAAAGGTCATTAAAAAGACCTTTTTAATGAAATAAGGAAATAAGGAAAGAAAGAAAAGACCAAAATGGATGTCAGAAGAGACTCTGAAATTTGCCCTTGAACAGAGAGTAGTTAAAGCAAATGGAAGAATCAACAAGATGAACAAGCTGAACAGAAGATTTCAAAGAGCAGCTTGAGCAGACAAAGTCAATTATTATAAAGAAATGTACAAAGACTTGGGGTTAGAAAACCATAGGGGAAGAACACGCTTGACATTTCTTAAGCTGAAAGAATTGATGAAAAAAATTAAGCCTCGAGTTGCAATATTGAAAGATTCTATGGGAAAAATATTCACTGATGCAGGAAACATCAAAAGAAGATGGAAGTCCTGGTGGACCCCTTGAGACTATGGTCTCTAGCTGCCCTTCAGGTCTGGAATTGAACCCACACCTATGGCTTCCAGCCAAACAAAAGACAGGCATATGAGTTGAACATGTACCTGAGGTAGATATACTCCTTGGAGCAAACAATCATGGGAGAAAGAGGGGCTGTTTATGAACAGGGAGACAGCTCAGGGGGCAGGAGTACATGAAGGGATGGACACAGGGAAGAGGTAACTATTGGGAGGAACTGGGAGGGGAGTTGTTGCATTGGGGTAAATTGTAGTCAGTGTCATGAGACATGTGTGAACTGCTGTATGGAAAGTGAATTTGCTCTGTAAGGTTTCACCCAAATCACAATTTAAGAAAAAAATGAAGAAGAAGATGGAAGGAATACACAGAGTCACTGTACCAAAAAGAATTGGTTGATGTTCATCCGTTTTGGGAGGTGACATGTGATCAAGAACCAGTGGTACTGAAGGAAGAGTAAAGGCTGCACTGAAGGAATTGGCAAAAAAACAAGGCTCCAGGAATTGACTGAATGCCCATTGAGATGTTTCAACAAACGGATGCCATGCCAGAGGCATTCACTCAGTTATGCTAAGAGATATGGAAGACAGCTACCTGGCCAACTGACTGGAAGAGATCCATATTTGTGCCCATTCCAAAGAAAGGTGATCCCACATAATGTGGAAATTTTTGAACAATATCATTAATATCACATGCAAGCAAAATCTTACTAAAGATAATTTAAAAACGGTTGCAGCAGTATATTGACAGAGATCTTCCAGAAATGCAAGCTAGATTCAGAAGAGGATGTAGAATGAGGGATATCACTGCTGATGTCAAATGGATCTTGGCTGAAAGCAAAAAATATCAGAAAGATGTTTACTTGTGTTTTATTAACTATGCAAAAGCATTTGATCATGTGGATCGTAACAAACTATGGTTAACATTAAGAAGAATGGAAATTCCAGAACATTTAATTGTACTCATGAGGAACCTGTACATAGACCAGGAGGCTGTTTTTTGAACCTAACAAGGGGATACTGCATGGTTTAAAATCAAGAAGGGAGTGCATCAGGGTTGTATCTTTTCACCATACACTTGACTGCTAACCAGAAGGCTGGAGGTTCAAACCCACCAGCCACTCCTCGGAAGGAAGGTTGGGCAATCCTACTTCCGTAGTGATACTGCCTCGGAAACCCAAGGAGGGGTCGCTATGAGTCGGGCCGACTCGATGGAACATAACAACAACAACAACATTCAATTTGTAGGCTGAGCAAATAATCAAAGAAGCTGAACTATATGAAGAAGAATGTGGTATCAGGATTGGAGGAAGATTCATTAACAACCTGTGATAGATGACACAACTTTGTTTGC